ATGAATTTGTGATGGGTGGAACTTGAATTCGCAAGTAGATGTTCAATGTGTAAAACATTATGCTAAATGTAGTTGCGACTTGGTTACTTCTAATGCTTGTTATGTACAGTGTCAGTGATAATTTGCGGTTTGTGAACGTTTTGGTTTCCCAATAAATCACACCAACACTGGAAAGAGAGTAGTAGTTAAGCTGAAGACTGCCGGCTCCGTTCTACCAAACTTCTGTATGTTATTGGAAATGCATTCAGCATGCTAACTCATTTGAGATGACGACTTTCGAGTGTGTATACGACCGGAGCAAGACTCAAAGAGCCACAGCTCTCCATGTGGCATTTAATGTGCTTTTGCCAGAACATTTATTCTAGGTTTAAAAAATATATATTTTTTGGTTTTTAGGGACGTTTATAACTATAGAAATGTGACCATACTTGGTAGTAGAGAACATGGGATTTAGTTCATTAAAATTATTATGATATAATTTTGAATTTAAAATTTATTTTACATATTTTTACAATGTGCAAATATTATTTAGATATTTTGACATATCCATTGCCTTTGATATACAGCTGTTCTTAATTGTGTTTGTAGTTTTAATGTTATTAAATATTATTTATTAAGAAGAAAATGGAATTATAAATTCTGTTTATCCTGCTGTACTAATATTGCACTGCCGATTCATGAACCCAAAACCGAGGTTAGTACCAATTCGTGAACACCCCTAATAATGATTGATGAAGCAGGCGTACCAGACAGTGGGTGATGCAGTTGTTGGTCTTGGCTGAGTGATGGAAATGGTATAAAAAGCACAGTAATTGTAATGATACAGTATGGTTTGGAGAGCAAAGCTGGTACAGGCAAAACACAGTAAATTCCAGTGGCTCTGACCTGTAACAAACTTTCCTTCAGTTCTTTCTTCCTTCTTTCACACTTACCTGATATCAGTTCCTTCCTTCTAAATTTTAGGAGTGCCTTTGGTATAGTGGACATATAACAAAGGTTATGAGCACCACCTGCCTTTTTTGAGGACACAAGACTAGAGGTCTACCAATATATCGGCAGGCCGATTATAACATGTTTCGCATCGGCCGATATCCGAGTGTAGTTCGCCGATTTACAGACAGGCACGTCTGCGGGCAGCCCAGTGTTATTGTTGCTGTGGAACACGTGACCCATGCTGCCTTGTGCAGGACCCCAGCCAGAAGTTTTGGAAGAGTCCTGGGAGAAAACGGTAAGGCTTAAATTCTGATCTTTCAAAAACCTATTTATTTAATTAGTTTGCTATGAAATGTTGCTTTGAAAGAAAACGCAAGTGCTTTATAAAGAGTACGCAAATTACGCTGTCGGGAACTGGGGTAATGATAATGAGCCTTCAACCAACTGTCGCTTACAGGTAACATTAAGGATCATTGATTCTGACAGAGTTTGGAATTCTGATGCTGCTATTTTTATTTGTGTATCGTTTGTTATTATTAGTGTGATATTTTACCATACAAATAGAGGGGAAAACGTTCAATTTTCGGGCAAAAAAAATTGGCAGCATATATATCGGCCATCGGCTGACCCTGACTCCTAAATATCGGTATCAGCCATTGAAAAACCCATGTCGGTCGACCTCTGCACAAGACTACTAGTTTCAGGTGGCACCTCCCTTAGTGAACCTAGTTGTAATGTTTATATGTGGCGATAGAATTTGCCCCCCACTTTTAGCTGGATCTCAAGGGGGCGAACCATAATAAGTTCACCACATTTATTGTCTCTTTTCTCTCCCACCTTTACCAGTAGATCAGGTTCCGTAATTGTGGGGAATACAAATGGTGATACTCCCATTAAACTGGTAAATAGATGTGTATTCTGTATCTGACTTGTTCTTTGTCATAAATACTTCTTTTTGCCTGGTTCGTTGCTTAAATCACTTCATATTTGTATTCTCAGTCCCCAAACTCCTGTCAAGGAGACTTTCTCCCTGTTGACCTCCTGTAATCAAACAGTCCTCTGTGCCCTGGGGTCATTCCAACCTGCTCAGATTCAGAAGTTTGCTAAACCTGCTGTGTTCCAGTTGTTTAAGCTGTTCGCTGAGTGTGCAGTGTTTGTACCAATTCACAGACATTGCAAATGCTGTTGAGCTGCCTTGGTTTAGTCTTTGCTATTAAGTTGTCTTCTGTTTTAACAGCATTAAAAGCACATGCCTGCCTGTTGGTGTTCTCCCCACTCTTCAATATATGTCTCACCTGGTGGTGCTGAATAACAGGCATCTGTGAGGAGACCCTAATCTGGGTAACTTCTGAACACATTCATGACAGATGCCGAAGACCCTGTTTTTTTTTTTTTGGGTAGTGCTTTCTGGTGCATGACACCCAAAGACAGTGCCTCTCTAGGCTTTGCTTCTAATTGGCTGCTTAGACACTAGGAACTGAATTTAAGCATCTCTCTCTCTTTCTCTCTCTCTCTCACACTCACACACACACACACACACACACACACACAGTGATGTGGTTGAGGGCTGCCTGGTGATGCTGTTATGAGCTCCTGACACAGTGACAGCTGTACACTGAGCATTCTTTCGCTGGATGTGGATTGATGGTTTTGAGTGTTTGGTGGCAGCACTGCTGGGTATGTAATGCACAGACGTGGCCACTTATTATGTCTGACTGAACTGTGAGCTGTCTCTCAGGCTTGTGTGGACAATATTAGGGAATACACTGTCATTTGTAGCAACTGCTTATTGTACTTGCATGTAGATTTAATCTCTTGAATGTCAATTATTCAAGAATTTTCGATGCCTTTATATCCCTCAAACTAAGGGTCACAGCATTTTTGAAGTGTCTTAGATTGACTGTCTTTCTACTTTTTAGCACCTGATTTTATTTGGCACAGAAAAGTGACATGAGGCTGGCCTCATGCCTCAAACACGCAAGCCTGGATTCTCATGGGAATCCAGAAGAGCTGAGCAGCTTTTAAGACTGCATGCTTTGAGATGAGTCAAACACGGCTTCCTTGTCAGAGTAGACCAGGTGCTCATTTCAGTGTTCCTCACATGCTTGAATCTGGACATGAGCTAAGTGAGACTGAGAACAGCGTGATAAATATCCCTCGCCATCCCCACTCATCTGTGACTCTCAAATGCCAAGTGTGGGTCAATGGGTTTTGGGGTAGGGCGACGTGGATGGGGGGTTTACTATGCTCCATAAATTGCAGCTTAATAATTTATTCTGCGGTGGTCCCGATGGTTCTTAAATGGCTTCATCTTGGTGGTGATTCTTTTTTTCTTCTTCCCAATTTATGTTTCATCTCCCTCCTCCATGCACACCCAAACTGTAAACATAGCACAGAAAATCAAGTTAAGCAGCGTGGTGATTTAATTTTGTGCCCTCCTCCATGCCAGCTGGCAGCCGTGCAGTCGGGCCCGTCTATGCATATGGTGCGATCTTGCGTGTCCCATTGCTAGCATGGTTTCTAGGGCTGAATCACAATGCAGTATGTAAAGGTGAGGTTAACGTACTGTTGTCAAGCTGGTTGTGATACCAGTGTTAATATTTCCCACAGTTGACTATTCATTTTTTCTGTCCAAGGGACAGCTGCTTCTTGGTGAAGCCTACTCAGTTTATTGGATCTGAGTAATTTTAGCGCTGTGTTTTTCTTCAGGAATATATATTTTTTTCCCCCCCACACAGCTTGTTTTTGCTAATGTGCGTATTCAGAGATTTAAAAAATTTTTTTTAAGCTTTTCTTGCTGTCTCCCTATTAAAGCTGTGCTTGGTGTTTTAAGTTTGAGGTGATGGACTTGAAGCTTTCCAATACCCAGCCATAGCACCCTGAATGACCACAGCTCTGAGACTGATTATTTTTGTTCCCTCCTGACCATGAAGCTCAGGCTGTTTCCCTGGCAGATTACATGAGCACCTTTGTGAAGTTCTTCTCATTTGCATGTGTGTTTCTTTGTCTCTTAGTAATTCCTGTTATGTATATGTGATCCGACAGACGTTCAGAGTAAGCCCTCCATTAAGTGTCTGTGTGTGTGTGGATGGGCGGGCAATTTGTTCCTCCAGTTTCCTTGCATTATCTGCAGGATTGTATTGCAGACGGACGGTCAATAGTAGCCGTGCAAATTGGAGAAGGATGTGGCCTGGTTTGGCTGCCGTGCTGAGATTTGTCTGGGAAGGCATCTGCTTTGTCCAAGGAGCAGAGTAGGGGGAGATGGATTCTGTGCATCTCTCCGAGCATGACTTGTGGTTTGGTATCCCGCCATGCAGCACGGGAGTAACATGAAACGGACGCCCACTGGTTCGGTGTGCATGCACAGGCCGTATCCCCTCTGCCTTGCGGAGGCACAACTTCCCAATTTCTGCAGCTCTTTGACAACTGTTCTAATTAAAAAGTGCATTTTAATCCCCTTTGTAAAGGCTTTTTAAGACTTAATGTGATGTTCTAATTATCATTCAGTATCTTGTATTAAAAACAGTCCGAATTTAGTACATGGGCAAGGGGATCCTAGTTTGCTTGTCCAATATATAAATTATGTTTTCTTGCCTTTCACCATCACTATAGGAGCGCCATGTGTAATGAAGTTACTAATTAAATAACCCACTTCTGACCCTCCATGGTTTTGGGGTTTGAGTCTCAGCTCTGTGTGTTTGACTGAGTTTGTATGATCTCCTTGTCACCTTTCCTATGGGGACTTCAGCTTCTTCCCAGAATCATTGCAGTTATTGTTCAAGTTGCCTATATTATATGGTTATGTGTTTTTATGCATGAATTTGCTGTGTAATGGACTGGCATCCCACCCAGGTTACACCTGTCTTTTATCTTGTGCTGCCTAGAATATTACTTTGTCTTCCAAAACTTTAATGAGGCTTATGTTCGTGGATAGGTAGTCCACATCTGTTTTAAATGTTCTATTACAGAGTGTGTGTGTGTGTGTGTGTGTGTGTGTGTGTGTGTGTGTGTGTGAGTGGGAGTGGTTGTGTGCTTATACATAACCCCCTTATCTTTATCTTTTACAGAATAACAGGAATGCCCAAAGAGAAATATGACCCGCCAGACCCGAGGCGGATGTACACAATAATGTCAAGTGAGGAGGCGGCCAATGGGAAGAAATCTTACTGGGCGGAACTTGAGATCAGCGGTGAGGGCGGAGCTTCTGGTTTTGTTCCTGCGATATACTAAGGTCTCACATGCTAGACATAGTTTCATACACACATACTCCTTGAAGTTGTGCACCAATAAAGGCAATTGTGGTACTGAGTTCCACCTGTATTTAACAGAATATGTAGCAAATTTATAAGAAGTGTAACTTTTGTTATTTGAGAAAAGTTTGGGCAAGTGGTGTAAATATTTGTCATAAGTAGTATTACTCATGCATGTCACCCTAGGTAGTATTTGACACCTTTGTACTCTGCCACAGGCAACAGCTGCTCTGTGCTGGTGCGTGTGGCAGTGACGAGTCCCTGTCTGGCTACCCTGCAGGTAAAGTGAAGAGTCTCAGCTCAACGCTATGGAGCCTGACTCACCTCACCGCCCTGTACCTTAGCGACAACTCCCTGTCGCGCATCCCCCCCGACATTGCCAAACTGCACAACCTGGTGTATCTGGACCTGTCATCCAACAAGATCAGGAGCCTGCCGGCAGAGCTTGGCAACATGGTTTCTCTCAGGTAGGGACTCCGGGGTCCCTCTCAGGTCCTTCCTTGGACCAACCAAATCTGTTCTGTGTTTTAATGGTATGTCAGCTCACCATTCCCAAAACAGCATGGCTTTGGTCTGTATGTGACAGATCCTCGGTCCCCCCCCCTCCTTTTCATTACAGTTAAAGGTATTCTTCCTTGACATCTTATCCAGTCTGTCACCACCACCCCTAATTGAAAACAGTCACCTCTGTTTATTCTCTGTTCTCTAACATTATGACAGCTGTCAGACGTCTTACAATAGCACTGGAAAAAAAAAAACTTTGTCTTAGTTTTTTTTTTTTAATACTCTTGTGTACTGGCCTTGCATTTCGGGTGGCTTTTTTTGTGGGGGGAGGACATGTAAATTGACAGATAAGTGTAGATAATTGGGATTCCTTGGCTGAGTGAAATTGTTCGGAAAACCAGCCCCTTGTCACCCTACTGTTTGATAGCCTATCGTAGCAGTCCCGTCACCAAGGATTTTCCAACTTTGATGTCCATTGGATTGGATTGGCTCTCGCAATTCTGTTTTGGTCGGGGTCCGACTCCTCTGTAGAACCATAATCTCTTACCCCTCCCTTGCTCCTCAGGGAACTGCTTTTAAATAACAACCAGTTGCGGGTTCTGCCTTTCGAGCTGGGAAAACTGTTTCAGTTACAAACACTGGGGTTGAAAGGTGAGTACGCTTTCTGTTCTGGAGGCAGTTGCCATGGCAACCGGCTGGAGCATCCTGCTGGCCAGCAGTGACCCTTACAGCACTCTTCCTACAGGGAACCCACTCACACAAGAAATCTTGAACCTGTATCAGGAACCTGATGGGACTCGACGGCTGCTCAGCTACCTTCTGGACAATCTCGCTGGCACCGTCAAACGCAGTGAGTCCCTGCTTCGTGTCCATCAATGACCTGCTGACCCACTGGGGTCTGCAGGAGTCTGAACATAAAGTAGGATTTCATTATGTTCTATGTAGTTTGGCTTATCACTGCATAGTTACCCTCTCTGTATTTATTAATCATAGGGATCAAAGATCAGACAAGATAAAAACAATTTGAGGGCAGCATAAGCTGATTTTTATACCCTTTTCAGGATTGTGTGTGATACTGTAGGTAAAGCTTTTCGGAACCCTTACCCTGTGTCCCGCTCCAGTCCCCACAGAGCAGCCACCATCCAGGTCCTGGATTGCCCTTCAAGAGCCAGACAGGACACGACCTACAGGTCTGAAGCCTTTCCCTCTCTCACTGGCCCTCTGCATATGCTGAAGTCTGCCTCCGTTAGTGGGGATTAGAAATTTCGGTCCATATCCTGAAGATCAAGAGTTCTAGTGGTGTAATGGATCATAGTCCCTGGGTTCGGCATGCATGTGAATCACAGATTAATTGCAAAGTTTTACCACAGTAGTGTGAAATACGGTTTTCTGCCACTGTTACTTTTTAAAGTAGTAATTCCCTAAATCACTGCTATGGAAGGACATGCATTTGGATAAAAGTGTCTACTAGATACACTAGTACTGTGGGGCTGTACCAGCATTCTTTGGCCAACATTAAGGTACTCTGACACTGATGCCCATTGTTTCCTGAAAGTGCGTTAACTGCACAGCATTCTGGACAGTTAATCTGCTTTGTTTGTGACTTGCCCCATCTTCAAACCCACAGCCCTGTTTTCCGTCATGTGTTACAACGTGCTGTGTGACAAGTATGCCACACGACAACTGTATGGCTACTGCCCATCCTGGGCGCTCCACTGGGAGTATCGGAAGAAGTCCATCATGCAGGAGATTCTGAGCTGCAGTGCAGATATCATTAGCTTGCAGGTAAGCCTGGGGGTGGTGGTGGGGGGGGGGGCGGTTACATCAAGCTAGTGACCAGTTTTAACCCAATGGGGAGCTATGGGAGGCGGGCAAAACCTGCCATTGGACAACAGTGCCCATTAGCACCCTTTGCTGGGAGTTCTTCCATCACCTGTGTTGTGTGTTCATCAACAGCTGAGTCAGATGGTTTCTCAGCATCTCTGATATGTTACCTGGGATAAATGAGGGCTGTAGGAAGGCAGTTTTCCCCCCACTCTTCTGTAATGTGACCTTTGACCTTCTCCATGTGGGCCTATTTCTGAGCAGGGCCCTGACAGACCAGGGACTGCTGGTGGTTATGTAATCAACTTACACTAATATACTAAAAGTATTGGGACACCTGCCTTTACACACACATGAACTTTAATGGCATCCCATTCTTAATACATAGGCTTTAATATGGAGCTGGCCCACCCTTTGCAGCTATAACAGCTTCAACTCTTCTGGGAAGGCTGTCCACAAGGTTTAGGAGTGTGTTTATGGGAATTTTTGACCATTCTTCCAGGAGAGCATGTGTGAGGTCAGGCACTGACGTTGGACGAGAAGGCCTGGCTTGCTGTCTCTGCTCTAATTCATCCCAAAGGTGTTCTATAGGGTTGAGGTCAGGGCCCTGTGCAGGCCAGTCAAGTTCCTCCACACCAGACTCGCTCATTCATGTCTTTATGGACCTTGGTTTGGGCATTGGTGCTCAGTCATGTTGGAACAGGAAGGGCCCCCCAAACTGTTTGCACAAAGTTGGGAGCATGAATTTGTCCAAAATGGCTTAGAATTCTGCAGCATTAAGAGTTCCTTTCACTAGAAGTAAGGGGCCAAGTGCAACCTCTGAAAACCAACCCCACACCATAATCCCCCCTCCACCAAACTATACACTTGGCACAATGCCGTCAGGCAAGTACCGTTCTCCTGGCAACCGCCAAACCCAGACTCATCCATCAGATTGCCAGACAGGGGAGCGTGATTTGTCACTCCAGAGAACATGTCTCCACTGCTCTAGCGTCAGTCCAGTGGTGGCGTGCTTTACACTACTGCATTGCACATGGTGATGTAAGGCTTGGATGCAGCTGCTAGGCCATGGAAACCCATTCCATGAAGTTCTCTACGCAGTGTTCTTGAACTAATCTGAAGGTCACCTGAGGTTTGGAGGTCTGTAGCTATTGATTCTGCAGACAGCTTGTGACTCTGCACACTGTGCACCTCAGCATGCGTTGTCCCCGCTCTCTGATTTTACGTGGCCTACCACTTTATGGCTGAGTTGCTGTTGTTCCCCATTGCTTCCACTTTGTTATAATAACACTAACAGTTGACCGTGGAATATTTAGTAGTGAAATTTCACAAGTGGACTTATTGCACAGGTGGCATACTATCACGGTACCACGCTTGAATTCACTGCGCTCATGAGAGCGACCCATTCTTTCACAAATGTTTGTAGAAGCAGTCTGCATGCCTAGGTGCTTGATTTTTATACACCTGTGGCTATGGAAGTGACTGGAACACTAGAATTTAAATGATTTGGAGGGGTGTCCCAATACTTTTGGAAATATAGTGTATCTTTCTTGGAGCTCTTTCGAACTTGATTACATCAACAAGTGATCATTATATAACATAAAGACAAGTTGAATTTGCAATGAACAAAGAACATTTTGCTGATGGTGTTTGCCAGGGCCTCATTTATTCACCTGTTTTGATGTACAGGAAGTGGAAACAGAGCAGTACTACAACTACTTCTTGGTTGAGCTAAAGGAACAGGGTTACGATGGGTTCTTCAGTCCCAAGTCACGAGCCAGAACCATGTCAGAATCAGACCGGAAGCATGTCGATGGTTGTGCAGTATTCTTCAAGGCGGACAAGTGAGTTTTCTTTTCTGGGGTCGTATTTGTCTGGAGACTTGTTGACTAGGGATGTTGATTGACTAGAGGTGGAACAATTATTTCAGGCTATATCATGTCTTTAATACCAAACCAGTGAGTTCCTGTCTTGGATAACCTGGTGTTTCTCAGGCTCACCTCACCCCTGTGCCCCTCAGGTTCAGCCTCGTCCAGAAGCACACTGTGGAGTTCAACCAGTTGGCCATGGCCAACTCTGAGGGCTCAGAAGCCATGCTGAACCGGGTCATGACGAAGGACAACATTGGTGTGGCCGTGCTCTTAGAGCTGCGCAAGGAGATGATAGAGATGTCCTGTGAGTCCAACCCCATGCTGCCAAATAAGCCTTTTCAGTATTGGTCGACATCTTTTTTTATTTTTAATTTTATATATAAGCATTATATATTTAAGTGACTTGGTACTGATATTGGTGCAGACCTTACTGAGGAGTGTTGATCCTTCTCATCCCTTCCAGCTGGAAAGTCTTTTCATGGAATGGAGAAGCAGCTCCTTTTGGTGGCCAACGCCCACATGCACTGGGACCCGGAGTACTCGGACGTCAAGCTGGTCCAGACCATGATGTTCATGTCTGAGGTGAAGAACATTGTGGACAAGGCCACTCGCACCCTCAAGCTGTCCTCGACATCCGGGGAGGCCAATGCCATTCCGCTCGTGCTGTGTGCTGACCTCAACTCGCTGCCAGACTCGGGTAAGCAGTGGAGCTCATGGAGACGTGGGGAGAAAGGCAGTTCTTCAAAGGGAGCTTCTCACATTGGCACCAAGCTTGTACCTTTTGACCCTTGGGACTTGTAACAGCTGGTGTGGCCCAGATAGTCCTGTGTGGAGTACATCTGCCCTTTCACAATATCACTCTCTTTTTGTGGGGTCCTAATAGTGGTGGTAGATTGGTGTGCTCCTTAGTATCAGATTTTTAGTATCAAATTCCTTAGCTTGAAAAATGGCCATCGTAGTAGTGTTTACTTTAGCCCACCATACTCCTTTGAGGGGCCCTCACCCACTTTGACCTCCACCCGGCACAGGTGTGGTGGAGTATCTGAGCACCGGTGGGGTGGACTGTACCCACAAAGACTTCAAGGAGCTGCGCTACAGTGACAGCCTGACCAACTTCAACAGCAATGGCAAGAATGGCACATCCAGCACTAGGATAACACACGGCTTCAAGCTGAAGAGCGCCTACGAGAACGGCCTGATGCCTTACACCAACTACACCTTCGACTTCAAGGTGAGTCAGTCAATGGTAACGGGCGCTACCCTTTATCGTAAATTTTGAGTACGCCTGTAACAGCAAAGTAGTATCAAGGGTCTGCTTAGCAACTTGATGTTTGTTTTCCTTGCAGGGCGTGATTGATTACATCTTCTATTCGAAGCCCCACCTCAACGTCTTGGGCATCCTGGGGCCTCTCGATCCCCACTGGCTCATTGAAAACAATATTACCGGTTGCCCGCACCCCCATATTCCTTCTGATCACTTCTCCCTGTATGCACAACTGGAGCTGGTCCTGCCCTACCCACCGCCCATCAATGGAATTCACCTGCCAGGTCGCAGGTAGTCCCGCGAGCCTCCGGGGACACTCCACCTCCCTCACGCTCCTCAAAACTCAAACGAAGAAGAGAACACAATCTTTAAAATTCAAGTCATACAGTAAGAGGTGTGAGGTATGGCCAGCAGGGATTTGTTTTTTGTATGTATCATTTTTGTGTTTTCCTTTAATTGTTTGTATTCATTTTAATTGAAGAATCTAAAGTCAATCAAGTCTCTTGCTATACACACCCCACATTCATGTTCCTTTCGTTATACATTGATGGACCACGCAGTGAGTTTGTCGTATTTCTTTAAATGTTGTTCATTTCACTTTTTTAAAAACACCCCCAGTCCAGGTCCGTTAAGCTTTGACAGTCCCGCTTACACCGTTTGCCGGGGTTCACAGATGGAGGGAGTGTTTTATTTACCAGAAGTGTAATTGTGTGCCCCCCCGTCCCCCTGCACGCCCCTTTTGCTCATGTGATGACTTGTCGGTGTAGGAGGGCACAAGCCACATCTTTGCCTTTGTGCTTTTGGTGCTGAAACCAGCTCTTCTGCTGCTGTCACCTCCAGTTCCCCTCTCTGGGGGCCTGGGTGTTTAAGTATTCACTTGATTCAGCTGTAACTCATGCTGGCCCATGCGTGGTTGAGTGACCACCCCCCATACTTTGAAATGGAGGAGGACAGTGGTGTAGAGTGTGATAGGAGATGGTGGCTTTTTGGCGGGGAGCACACGGAGGAGTCAGGGTCCTTTCTGGGCGTGTATTGCCGCAAAAGCACCTGTGCTGGGTCAAAAAGGAGGATGCAGCTTGAAGCAACATCACTCTCGGCACTGCTCTGTGGCTCCGTGCACCCGAGCCCTGACATCACGGGCATCCGTCAGCACTGCCCTCCAGGGTGGGCGAGGATCCACTGCTGGTCATCCTTCTGATTTTGGTTTGGCAGGTTCTCACATGGGCAGCAGCGTGTGTATGTGTGTGTGTATATATGTGTGTATACACACACACACACACACACACACACACACAAATCAGTAGCATTGTCTTGGAGGCCGTAAGTGAGCCCCTCAGCTCCATCCCGAATGGGCCATGAAGTGCACATTTCACTCCAGGGGATTTTTCACATGGACGTTTGTATGAAATATTACATTTGGATTTAGCCTTTACATGATTGTATAAAACCTGGTTTATGGCAATTTTGTACTTAAAATACATTAGGACCAGATTTGGGGACAAATAATTGTATTGTAAATTAAGGCTAAGTTTTTATCCATTTATTGTGAATGAGAGGAATTTGAGTAAGCAGCTTGCGCAAAAGATGAAAAGGGCAGCTGTGGAAGGTCTGTCTGGCGCTGTGTTTGCACTCTAGAGTCTGTGTCCTCTATCATTTTTAATCCCCCCCCCTCCCCCCCGTATCAAAATTTTTGTTTTTGAAAACTTGTTAGGCCTTAGAGTTCTAGTGCACCCGAACGCTGATGTGCACACAATGGTCTGACCGCATCCCGTCCCCCCCCCCAGATCCCTTATGTCTACCTGAATATTGATTTGCATACGTCAATCCACCCGCATACCAAACCTCGACCCATTTTGGGGAGCATGCTGCACATCCCTCTACTCCACCTGAATATCGATGTGCAAATGACGACCTGACCACATCCCATCCCCCAATCCATTTCGGGGAGCAGGCTGCACATCCCTTTTTCCGCTGCTTCACCATCTCGTCTTTTTGAGTAAAGTGTGCACCCCCTTATCGTAGTGTCTCTGGGTCCAGAAGAACAAGCACCATCCTCAATCCTGGACCATGCTGATCTCCCTCGGTGTGACCAAGGTCTATCTGTCTGCCCCCAGCCCCAGGTGTCAGTATGTGGGCACATTGTGGGCTCTGCTATGGTCAGTTTTGGGGTGGGTGTTGATAGGGCATCGCCCGCAGTGTGGAGCCTATGGTGTGGAGCTGGTCCTTTGTTTGGACTGGGAGGGGGGCGAGGGCACCTTGCACTTCCTGCACCGCCAGCAAACACCTGCACAGCTTCTCTTTTCACCTTTTTTCCTGAAGATCTTCTGTGATCCTTTTTGTTATTGCCACCCCAGCCATGCCCTTCATGTCCATTGGGTGTTTAATACTCTTGTGAGATAATGATTCCCCCCCCCACCCCCCCGTGTTCTTGCACCGATCAGAACAGCTCAGAGAGCTGAAAAGGTAGTTGCTTTTTGAAGCCAAATGAGTCGGCTCCGATTTAGTTTGGATCCACATACTGTTCTCATCTGTATAAAGTTCCCCCCGCCTCTTTATGTTTGTGCCATTTGATGTATAATAACATGAAGCCAATGTGGTGATCAGAATCTAGTTCTTTTGACCGTCCTGAGCCGTGCTGGGGATTAGACGGAAACCATGTCTGAATGTGCAGCCCTGGCCGCCTCCCATGTGCCAGACCTCCGTAGCCCTGCATTGTTTCATCCACATCTCCAGGGTCCCGGGTGACTCCCAAGTTGGCCCAACAAAATGAGACACATTCATTGTTCAGCGTACAGTTAACATCACATGGAGGAACTGGGTCAGTGTTTGTGTTTTTAAACAAAGGTAACCGATTTGCAAGCACTTAAGACAAATCTATTATGCAGCTAGCCTGTAAGAAATGTGATCGCCTTTTTAAGAAACTTTTTTTTTCTTCATGTAAAAATTCATATTTTAATTGCTTTTTACAAATGAAGAAGGGATTAAAACAAGGGAAAGTTTAAATATGCCATCCTTGTCTATGATCTGCTCATTCCTGCACTCCCCCCCCCCTTTTTCCCCCTTTTTTGGTTTGTTTGGAAAAGAAAATGTTCAATTTATAATAACCTTGAATTGCTGGTAGTGTTGTATTAGATTGAGATAGCTTTTGTAAAGTGTGAATAAAAGGTGTACTGTTTCCTTTTTAAAAAAACAATGGTTGTGTTGTTGCAGATATGAATTTAGTGTTATGATTGGATGTTTTTTTTTTGTCCTTTTTACCCATTTTTTTAATCATACTATTAAACCAAATATTTTTTTAATATATGTATATGAAAACGTTAGCAAGTTAAAATGGATATATATGGTTGCTAACTGAGATTCAAGACACTTTAAAAAAAAAAAAAAAAAAAAAGGCTGTCATTAAAAGTGCAGCTTCAGAGAGAATACATGGGAAAGGATGGGCATTGTCGCCAAATTTGAATCTCT